ATATATATAGTGGTTTAAAAAAAGAAAAAAAAAAAAAATTTTAGGCTGAATTTTTTTTTTTTTTAACAGCAGTGAATGGTGGACTAGTTTCGTGTTCACGGACTAGTTTGCATAGATGGAGTTGAGCTTGCGTGAAGATGTTGATTGTTTCTCGACGAGTACAATAAGCGATCAGCAGGGAAGTTAAGAATGGCTGGCAATACGAGTTCGAGCGTACCGTCGCGTTCGGCACGTTGTGGAGTGCAAAGCAAGCACGAACCTTGACAAAACCACGTGCATGTATCTAAAACTTTCTTCAGTTTTAACGCAGATGCAGTGTCTTTGCCGTGAAAGGCTCAATGCTGTGCATCAAGTATTTATTTGCCCGTTTAGCACAGTTTTCTTTTATTCACCGAATTATAATATGTATCGGACATGTATTGTAACGCACGCGTAAGGGAAAAATAAAGCAGATCGGTATCGGTACGTACCGGAGCCAAAGATCACGGACAGAAAGCAGCTTACATTAAGCTACGTTTAATGTTTATGACGTAATCGTCCTTGAGTTTTGATACGCGCAACTTTCAAATGCCGATCGATTAACTCGGTTGAAGATCTTCATTCTGAGAGGAGAATTTCCCCCCTCCCCTCCCCCAAATACACAATGATAAACGTTTGCCATGAGAACGCATTAACGTACAAATTGAGTAGGAGATCGTGTGACAATATATGAATCATTTTGACAATATGAATCACTTGGACATCAAGGTTGTCAGAAAACAATCGTGGCTCTTTATTCGTGCTTGTATTGTAGACAGAATACACATAGTTGTTGGTATCGTTATCATCGATTGCAGATTGGGAAGGTTTTTCAAGCTTCAGGTAAGTAGGCTTCCGTCTAGACTCTAGGTCTACGGATCGGCCAACCGATTTTTAGCTTAAGTGGTGCTAATTTCTTCTCAAACGATGCGTCACTAAATTATTTCAAACAATGTTTATGAATGGTAAAACCATGTAAGAAGGATATCGGACGAAGACAAAAACTTGATCAACTATAAGTACGTAGTAATTGGCTAACCCTGGTCTAGAGCTTGATTGATGATGACTCGGCTTGGGGAAGAACATTTCTGAGTCATTGAAGAGAAAGATTCGTATCGAGCAAACGCTTTTACGCCGACAATTAACCGACGCGAGACACATCGGCTGTTTTCGTGACTCTTTGAAAGT